AACATTTTTCCTAAATATAATTGCAGGAATGATAATAATAATTATTTTAGACCTAATAATAATTTTAGAAATAATTTTAGACAAAATTATGATAATAGAGATAATAATTATTAATAGCTATAGAAATAGGAATTACGATAATAATAATTATTAATAGCTATAGAAATAGGAATTACGATAATAATTATTTTAGTTACTATGATAGGAATTACGGTAATAATAATTTTAGATACCATGATAATTATAATAACTATAACTACAACAACTATCGCTACAACAATAATAATCAATCTAACTACGGTAGAAATAATACATGGTATGATAATAATCAGAGGAAACAGATCAATATGGTGATCGAAATCGCAATAATTACCAATCCTATAATAACAATTCAAATAATTATAGAGGAAGCGACAACAATCAGAGAAAGCAAATACAGTATAACAACAACGACCATAATATGAACATTGAAGAAATTGTTGAAGAGAAAATCGACTCTACAAAAAATAAAGATGATAACGATTTTAACATTAATAATTTATCTGGGGTCATGCTTAATGATAAAAATACGGCATTTATGACTACTTTAAAAGTAAATGATATTATAAAAACCATGCAAGTCGACACGGGTTCCGAATTCACCATTTCATGAATTGGCTAAAAAACTTTGTATTAGAGATGTTAAAAGATCCGAGTTACAACTTGCAGCCTATGACGGGAATTTGATTAAGATCATCGGTATTACGCAAGTTAAAGTGACTTATGAAGATATCTCAAAATATTTACAAGCGGTAGTCGTTGAGTCAAGAAAAAATGCCTTGTTGTGACGTACATGGATTAAGGCCTTCAAAAATATTTTAAATAAATTTAAAGCAAATATTGACACAAATTACGAAGATCAAATTAAAAAATTATTTAAAAAATTCGAATCCAAATTGACTAACTAACCAATTAATAAAGCAAGTGTCAAGTTACATTTAAGAAGAGATACCCAACCTAAAATTATACCACCCAGACGTATACCTTATTCAAAAATTGATCTTGTGGGCAAGGAACTTAAAAAATGGATACATGATGAAATTATTGAGCTGGTGATTGATGTTCGATGGGCAAGTCCTATTACCGCCGCCTACAAAGATGATGGGAGCATTAGGCTTTGCGCTGATTTTAAGGCCACCGTATACCTAGCTCTAGAAGATGTCATATACTCACTTCCACAAATTAACGATCTAATAGCTAAACTTTCAGAAGGAAATAAATTTATGAAGATTGATTTTAAAAATGCTTTCTTACAGGTCCCGATTGATAAAAGTTGCAGAAATATTTTAACTATATCTACGCACAAGGGATATTACTGATTTACTAGACTTCCTTTTGGGCTAAAGACCTCATCTGCAATCTTCCAACAGATCATGGACAAATCTTCCGTGACATGAAAGATGTCATATTTTATATTGATGATTTACTTATAACCGGAAAAAAAGAAGAAGCTCACCTAAACAACATAAAAAAAAGTGTTTGATCGAATATCATCATTTGGGTTAGTACCTAACTTCAACAAAAGTGTGTTCTTTAAAAATAAAGTGAGGTTCCTGGGTTATGATATTGTCGCCAAGGGGATTCATGCTAATCACGACAAAATTGAAGCAATAATTAAAATGACAGAACCAAAATCTGCTGCTGAATTATCAACATTTCTGGGAATGGCTGGCTACTTTAGAAAATTTTTGAACATTTTGCTGAAATAGTCGATCCTCTATATAGTCAACAAAGAAAAATGGGCTTGAAACTTAGAACACTAGAAGTTTTAATGATCTAAAAAAGTAGATTAGTCTTTGTCCTGCATTGACTTATTATAATCCTGAATTACCTATAGGAATTGCCACTGACGCATCTAAATGTGGTTTAGGAGCTGTATTATTTCATACTGAAAAAGATAGCAAAGAAAAATCAATAGCTTTCACGTCGAGAACCTTATTAAAATTCGAAATGAATAATACCAACATTGAGAGTGAGGCTCTCGCTATTATGTTCGCTATAAAGAGGTTCCAGGAATACTTAATCGGCACAAAATTTACAATTATTACTGACCAAAAACCTCTTGTTCACATCTTTACCAAGGGTCTCAAGGACAATAGTACTATGTCCTTAAGACTCCAGAAGTGGAATATAACATTAGGAGGATATGATTTTAATATAAAGTATAAAGCCGGTATATATAATGTTGTTCCTATCCATATAATGTTGTTCCTGATTGTCTCTCGAGATTGCCACAAGAATGTCATGATGAAGTTGTTGAAAATATCATAATTATAAATGACTTGGGGATTTACCTATCAATTTTAATCAAATACGTGATAAAACTTTCAAAGATATTGAGTTAAAACAAGTCATAAATGATTAAGAACAACATGCCTATAAAGAATAATATCTATAAAAACATTAAATTGGAATTAAGTATAATTAAGGATTGTCTTTACAAAAGCAACAAAATAATAATTCCGTCTTCTATGAGAAAAAAAATGTACTACAGTCATTATATGAAGATCATTTGGGAGCAGGAAAAATCAAATCCTTAGCCAAAGATTATATGTGGTAGTCTGGTATAAATAATGACATAGACATGGAAGTGAAAAGTTGTGAGACAATCCTAAAAGCATACAAAAACCATGGGTTTCGGCAACCAAACCATTTGAAAGGATACACATAGATTATGTGGGTCCGTTTTTAACAAGAAATTGGTTGATAATAGTCGATGCCTATAGCAAATTTCCAATTATTGTTCCTGTTAAAAATATTACGACACTTTAAAAGAAATTTTTAAAACTATTTCGCTATATGGAATACCTGAAACTATAGTAACTGATAAAGGCACTAACTTCACAAGTAATGATTTTGATAAATTTTGCAATGATTATGGTATCAAACATGTACTCACGTCCACATATCACCAGCAATCCAATGGCCAGGTATAACGCATGGTGAGAACGTTCAAAATACATATGAAAAGGAATATCAAAATTGACTTAGACATTGCACTTGGCAAATTTTTATTTACAAAAACACGCGTAATGACACTACAGGAGTTACACCTTCCAATAGAATGTTCAATCGAGATATTAGAGTTATATGGGACCTATTAAAACCGTTGGAAGAGAAGGAGAACAAAATCAACGTTACTTTACCACGAAATAGAACCTTTAAGTAGGAGATTTTGTTTGGTACAAAGTAAAAGGTGATGACAAATGGTGTAAAGCATGGTCACACACAAAGAAAGTGACAATAAGTTCCAAATTAAGATAGATAAAGGTATTTTGAGGAGACACTTAGATCAATTAAGAATAAGAAATTGTTTTATCACACTTATTAATTATGACTCTAATTCTAAGGATTCTTTTAAGGAGGGAAGTGTGGACAGAAATATAAAAACTACTGATAAAAATAACGTAACACCGATTTCTAGACCAATGCGAATTAAACAAAAACCTGCTTATTTAAAAGACTACATAACTTAAAAGACTACATAACTTAAAATATTAAAATAAATTAAATATTAAAACGCATAAAGTAAATTAAATACTAAAACGCTTACACTAAAACGCAAAAATGAAAATGCTAAAAATTTTATATAACAATCTTATTGATTTATCATTCTTCGTTTATTCTTATATCCAACTTGATGAATTATTATTTCTAATTATTCGTGACTGACTGATGATAATAACAATTTTGAAAATTGATAATAATAACGACTGAGTACTACAAGCAAGCTACATGACAAAATCATGATTTATGAAGACAACTTACGATAAGGATATTAAACTTACGATATGGATATTAAACTTACGATAAGGATATTAAACTTACGATACGGATATTAAGCTTACGATTTAAACAAACCAACGTGCAAACTCGATTTAAACAAACCGACGATTGGGACAAGCCAACGATTACGATGACTTATGCAACAACTTGATAACTAAAATGATAAACTATTAGAACGATTTACTATCTATGACAGCTTAGAAGATATTATGGGAAGGCTTTTTTTAGAAGAAGGAGAATGTTTAATAATTTGACCTCTTATTCTTAATTTTATTTTGTAAAAAATACTTAGTTAACTAGTTCTTTTAATATGTACTTTTTATTTTATTTCGCCTTTCTTTGTTTACATTCTAATTCTTAGATAAAAAATAGATATATATATTAAATGTTTGATAGAAAAAGAGATTTTATTACGGTACGAATATACGTATAATTATTACAATATGACAAATTTTCAAAAAACATAAATCACAGAAAATGTTTGAAACAAGCTTATTTTTTTATAGCTATTTTATTAATTCCCATTATATTATAATGATTTTATCTTATTATAATGATAACAATATGGCATATTTACAAGCAAATATTATTGTGCCTGACAAATGTTGTTCTTAAATTAATTATGATTATCATATCACTGCCTATTTTGACAACATTTTTGAGCCTTGCACCCCTCCTTCTTCCCCATTATGGTGATAAAAATCCGGCTTTTGGCCCTACTTTTAATTTTTATAATATAATGTTTACCTATTCTATTCTATTCTACAAAATATGATATAAAACATCTCTTTTTTAAATACTTCTTTTTTTTAAAAAAATTCATTCTATAAATATGATATTCAATAAGGCAAAAAAGGCAAAATAGAAGGAATGACAGTAATAATATTTTTTGGGGTATGGACAGGGCTAGGCTCGGGCGCAGGGGCCATGTAGGACTTTATATTATAGGCTACTTTGATAGCCTGATAAATAAATACCCCCCTCCCCAATTCTTAATTAATAATTAAACAGCTAGTACATATTTACACCTTCTAAATAATTATATTTCATTAATATTTTTAAATAATTATATTTTTTTAATGTTTTGACTTTTAAACTGAATAGAAATTTTTATATTTACAAATTTAAAAAATATTACATTTTTAATAAATCATTTTCTTTCATACATCGTTGACCGCTGTTCTTGTTTTCAAGTTAAGACATTTTTTAGAAAATCCTAAATATTTACCCGCTCCGCACAAAGGTTGTATTTTACCCTTACTAATTAAACATTTTCCTGGTTTCGTTATAACCTTTATTTTAAAAAATAAATTATAATTATGTTTGAATATAATAAATGATATAAGGATTGAAAATTATTTTAACTTAATATGTTAAAGAATTCTGATAAAATCTCATTAAACTATTACTGCGATAAATCTTTATTTACATCACTTTAAAATAATACATATCATTTATAGAGATGTCATTCATATAAAATAAGCTATATCTGCTCTTATATATAAAGGCTTCCTGTTTTTCAGTTATTAATATACTGTTAGATATAAATAGCATAATATAGTTTAGTAAAAGAAGAGAGTCAAATTATGTCATTCAATTAGTAAATCAAATTTATATAGTTTAAACAAGATGACCCAAACTTACAAAAACATGTATGATAGTAAAAAATTTAAATAGAAATAATTTCCCTCTACTTAATTATGTTGCCTTTAAAGCTAATACTTAGTTATCTCGCCCTTAACGCTAATGTTGAGCTTGATTCTTTTAGAGAGAGTTTTAATTAAGGTTTCACGCCTTTCGCAGGGGCGTCGCTAGCCTTTACAATATCAGGGGCTCAACTAAAAAAAAATTTAATGGGGGGCAAAGATACCCCCTAATTTGCGGGCCTTCTGCCTAGGGGTCTGCATTGGGCGGGTTTTTGGACCAAAAGCCCGCCCATCCAATGTTTTAAAAAAATTTAACCCCCCCTCCCAGCCCGCCTATAGTTTTCAAAAAAATATATACCCGCCCGCCCCGCCCATTTGTCTAAAATTTCTTACCCACCCGCCCATTAGTCTAAAATTTTTTACCTGCCCTCCCATTATTTATAAAAAATTTTTAACCCAAGCCCGCTTATAAAATTTAATTATGGTCATTCTTTCATTTTTTTAAGCATCTAATAAAAATATTTCATTACTCTACAAAAAGTTTATAATTTAGGAAATTAATATAGGTATAAAAATAATCAATGTAAATTATGGACAATATATTTGATCAAATTGAATATTTATGAAAATAATAAAGATAAACAATTATTACTAAAATAAAATAATACAATGCAGATTGCAAACCCAAAAAAGGAGATTTTAAGAGAAAAGTTTTATTACATTCCCATAAAAGGAAATTTTTAATAGACAAAAATATTTATTTATTCTAAGAAAAAAGTTTTATTGTTGTGTTTATTACATAGGTAAATGTTCTCCACTTAAAAAAAACGATTGGTACAATAAAAAAAGAAATAATGATATAGTTCATTTAAACAATATTTTTTTTTAGTTTATTTTCAATTTCCTTAACCCCACCGCCCATTGTTCAAATTCTTAACCCGCCCGCCCAGCCCACCCATAGTTTCAAATTTTCTTTAATCCGCCCGCCTGCCCATTTCGAAAAATATTTTATCCGCCCATCCGCCCGCCCACTTAGATTGGCGTGCGCGGGCGGGCCGAAACCCCGCCCAATACAGACCTCTACTTCTGCCTTCTTTTGCCCTGCTTTTGGCTGGGTTTTATACTAATATATAATACTTAAGATTTGCTAAGTTGGAACAATTATTATGAATTTCATATTTTTCCATTTATCATATTATGCATACAAAATAAACTAGCATATAAATAATTAAAACAATACAAGACATTTCTAAATAAAATATTTTTTAATACAAAATCTATTTATTACAGTATAAAATATTTTCGCTGATATAAAAAAATTTTGCTTCTAAAGGATTACAAGTGATAAAAAAGTTTAATTAATTCATACATATGCCTCAATTGATAATGGAAAAATCACATAAGGCTATATAATTCTTAGCAAGTTACATTGACAAAAGGTCATGAAACTGATATAACTCTCTGTTACCATTTTAGACAATGAGAATGGACTAATAGGAAAAAATTATAGTCCTTATCAAATCAACAATTCATGAAAGAGAATATAAAGGACCAATCCAAATCATAAACCTATATGGTGGGTAGAGCTTCCTCTTAGATGACATGATGGAAGCTAGATAAGTAATCGAGAATATTATTGTGAGATATTAAATTTATAAAAGATTATCTTCCATTTTTAATGATATATAAATAAACGACTACATAGTTGAACATTATTGCTTATCTAAAATATGATATGCTCTCAGCAGCTGTAGTAATAATCTTAAATTACATAGCCACACTAATAATAGATGCTGGTTAAATGTCATAGCCATGAATGACACTCACGATGGTAACCCATATCAGAATTTATTATGTTAGATAAATTAGTAATGAAACATTTTGTAACTATAAAATAAAAACCAGAGTGATATCATGCAAGCAATTAAGGTTTTATATATTATTGTCGCACCACCTCTAGTTGGTATATTATATCATAAAATAATAGTAGTTTGTAATAATATCAAAAATATATTCGTATTAAAAATTTAATTCAAACAAAACGGTTTTTCAAAGAAGAAAAAAATAGCTTTCCTAAAAACTAAAAAAGAGAGAAAATATATCTAATTTATTACATTCATTGTGGGATGAATAATAAAATGTTTAATTAAAATAATATTTTAAATAAATAGATGGCGTTAAATAATTGAATGCAAATTGCTACTTATATTTATTATAAAAAGCATTTATTAGTAAAATTTATTAAAATATTAACTGATATTATATAACTGTCAAATACGTCTGACGTGGCATCCTAATATTTTATAATCAATTATATATAATATAGGATTTATAAACTATATGTAGTGTTGTTACACGGCTCGATTTGAGCCGATAAAAAAGGCTAACTCAATATTTTAGCCAAAATATTTTACACAAGCCTGAAGATTTTGGTCATAGATAGCACAAAGGTATCAATTAACTAAGCCTGAAGGCTTGAGCAATACTTTTCTGGCTAAAATATTGAGTTAGCTGATTTAAAGAAACGGCTCAAATTGAGCAGTTTAACAACACTAACTATTCGTCTACTTAATTTTTATAAAAAAATATCTTATACTTATGAAAATATTTTTAGGAAGAGACATGACAATTAAATTTAAAAATGAATAATATAGTTGATTAGTGATTTTGAACTCGGCTAATTACAATATTAAATTTGTTAATTTTCAATTAATAAATGTTTATATTAATAATTAGGGTTATATCGGTGGCGTATCCAGGATTTTCTTATGAGGGGGCTCCCCCCCCCAAACTCCTTTAGCTGGCCTTCTGTTTTAGCTATCCTATTAAATCATTCATAATTTAATAATAATTATATATCTATTTTTAACTTTTATTTACTAATTTGTGCATATCGATATTAAAAGCCTATTTTTTATTATTTTAAGTTAGGTGTGTTATATTTAATAAAGTTTTTTTAAATGTAAAGTTAAAATAAAGTTTAATGTCATTTTATTTTAAAATTTGCTTTAAAAACTAGCCTCAGCTTAAATTCTCATACAATATAAGTAGAATAAATTTTTTTTTAATTGTGCACAGTGTATAAAATATTGACTAGAAAATAATTTAAAAACGTTTTTATAACTTCTATCAAATACAATATTATCAAAAAGTTTATTAAACACTATAACTATAATGTAATTTTTAATTTTAGTGTGGATGTTGCCAATTCATCTAGAATTTCGTTCGTCGTTGGAACTAAATCTCTATGAATATTTAACATAGCTAATCTATTTAACCGAGATTCTGAAGTAGTACTTCATAAAAATGTCTTCAGCCTTCTCAAGTTTGAAAATGTCCTTTCATTCGTGCATGTTGTAATAGGCAAACATGCAAGAATATAAAATAACTTCAAAATATCGGGAAATTGAGTCAACATGCACAGATATATTTAAATTTAGTATATCTTCTGTCAGCGTCTACATGACAGGATTTTCAATGATGCAAACCCCCTTCAAAAACCTTTGCCTACCTCCCTAAAAAATAGCCGCCTTCGGCGGCGGTGTCTCTTTCTCATTATTTTCACCTATTTATTTATTGATACTCTTTTTAAAGAATTTATAAAGGATAACTTAAATTAATCTGTCTCTACTAACAACTATCTATATTTTGTGAATATAAAGAATTTATTTTTTATATAATAAATTCAATTAAAACCTCCATATTTACAATGAATTAATTATTATGGCATTATAAGCTTGCTAAATTATCTAAACCTTTTAAATTACATTTAAAAGGATAGTTTATTTGGAAAACAATGTGTATGATTGTTTGCAATATATAGATTTGGTCGATGAATTGTATTATAATAATACTATAATAAAAGTATAATTTTTACAGCAATAAATTTTGTCCTATTTCATCTGAAAATTTAATAGATAACCCCCAAAAAATTTTATCCTATCCCCATTAAAGCAGCTTACCCCCTACCCACTCAAAAAAATAGGATGCAAACTGTTCCTACCCCTCCGGCTCATGTAGACGCTGTCTTCTGTTCTAAAGAAAAATGTAAAATATAAAATTAGATATTTATTAATAATTAAAATATTATTAAAAATACTTATTAATTTTAACTCACTAACTAATAATTTTGAATTTCATAAAATAATATATTTAATATTAAACTATATACCGTTTGATTTCAATATCTTTGTCTTTGACAAAAAATTTCTCCATTTTTTATTAATATTTTTGAATAATGTAAATGTACTCACAAGGAAAGGAAATTTTATAAAAATTTATAAAAAATAAGTTTTATGTTAAAAAATTAATATTCAAATATTTGTAAAATTTTAATTGGGGGGGGGCGTGGGGGAGTAAAATTTATATTAGCTTAAAATGATATTTATAAATTTGCGATGGGAAGGGATTTCCCCCCCCCCTTCCCCCCATTGGTTACGCGCCTGGGTTATATACTAATTTAAATAATAAAAGTCAATTAAGCTTTAACTGTTAATGCTAAATTAATATTTATTGTGTGATATTGATATTCTATTTTTAACACAGAATTTGATTGCAAGCTGACATGGTGAATATAATTTATATGTATTAATCTAATCTAATAATTAAAATAGTATTCATTTAATAAAAATTTAGAAAGTCTTATTAATTTTTAAATAATAAAATTAAATCTATATATTACTTAATAGAATAATAAAAGAAATCGTTTAGGGGGCAATCAAAAAATTTATTTTTTGGTTCAAAGGGATATTAAGGAACCATTAAAAAAGAATTTTGCTTCAGGGGGCTCTTCAAATTTTTCAGGTCTTATCCCATTTTATTTTAGATTTATCCTCTTTTTTATTTAAAACCTTGACATTTTTTACTTGAATTAAATTTGGTCTTGTTCCAGGCCATTTAAGTAAAGCTAACCCGTGTCTAATAAAAAAAGTAAGATTTTATTTTAATATAGCATATGGTGCATTGTCTTGTTGGAAAATAAAATGAGCTTGCGGGAACCGCTGATTACATTTATTGGATATGTGGGCAAATCAAGGAAAACTTGAATATGAGTAAATGTAATGATTAAGCATTTATGATTCTTAATAATAAGTATATTTTGTAATATATATATAGGTCAATCTATACATATGCTATTTTGTTTAAGAAAAATATCCGTATATTTTATTTAATTATTATTTATTGTATTTGCGTATATAATTTAACAAGGATCTATATATGACATCATAAGAGCTTGTTCACTTATCATAAATATTTTAAGAATTTCTGTCATAGGATCCCCATTTTTATATAATTTTATTTTTGTTTCGAAGGAGTTGGATCACCCACATTATTTAGTTAATTTAAAAATATATATAAACACAAAACAATGGTAAAATAATAAAAGCCGAAGATAATACAAATCTTTAACTTATCTGAAAAATCTAAATGTTTAAGGAGTGGCCATGATTCATGATTTTATAATGGCGCTCATTTTGATTTATATTTGTTAAAATTTTAATATCTTTAATAAATATCGATATAATCTATTTTTTTTTATTTTACCCATAATATATAGGGCAAATTAACCCCTATAAATTAAGAGATTTTAACACATTATTCTATCTATATAAAATTTTATATTGAAATATATTCGTTATAAAATTTAATTAATGGCAATGTAATCTGATTTGATTTAGGGTGATATATATTGTATTTTTTAAATTTATACCTTTTTAACTTCAATTTCAACAATGCAATCTGAATCTATAGAGGCAGTAGGAACAAATTTGCTGTATATATATGGAACTGTCCCATCCCAATCCGTTGGTCCTAAATACTGGTGGCTAACATTATCATTTATGAGCCCTTTAAGTTCGTCTAGGTTTTTATTGAAATCCTCTTCGTTGCTCTTAAAATTAACATGTCAAAATATGCCATTTTAAACAAATGTGTTCGTTTTAATTTTATTAATTATTTTTAATAAATATTATTTAAACATAATAAATCTTTTTGACTATGTTAAATTCGATATCTATTACAAGACAGTAATTTAGATTTAAAATGAGCACTAAATAAGTTAAAAGGACACTAAAAGGCTACATCAATAAAAATAAAGGTAGAATATGAAATAAGTATGGAAGACCGGGGAGAGTTGAACCGTGAGGCATAGCAAATCAGTAAATTCCAATTTTAAATTAAGAATGCTAAGAAATTTTTTTTCCTTATATTGATTTTAGTAGTGTGCATCTGTATATAAGAAATATTTTGAAATAATTGACTAAAAATTTAATAAGAGAAATATATTTTGTGTTAAATTTGGAAAATATTTGCATTCTAAAAAGTATTACAAGCAATTATGTTATTTAATCATGTTTAGTAAAGCTGGTGATAGTATGCTTGCGAAACCAAAATACTGCAACTGCTTGATGTATAATTATCATAGTTGCTAAAAATACTTTTCAAATGGATATAGATACAGGCACATATAATAGAAAGGGATCTAGATACCAATATTTTCTTCCAAATGTATCTAGATACAGATGCAATTTTATTATACTTATAAATGGTGTGCATAATTCATAATTCTGTTATTAAAATTTAAATTTCGTAATAAGCTTTATATTTATTATTAAAATCTACCAATCATAATTTTATGATTGTTAGATTTATAAAAAAAATTTTAAATCATATTTGAAATAATTGTAACTGTTTTATTATCAATTTAATATTGAATAACAAAAGTTTTAGTCTGGAGAGGTATATATTGACACTCAAATATGTATTAAAACCCACCGCCCAAATATAAATGATAGGTTTTTAGAAAATGTCTTAATTAATCCTAAATTGGTTTAAGATATTTTTTAGGAACGCTTTCCGACACGTTCCGAAATGGAAGGAAATGGTATATAATTTTGTGACCAGAATGTAAACGGAGCAGAAACGCAAAAGTGCCTTTGTTCCGGTTCTCTGTTTGATAAAAATTATATTTATTTTAACAAAATAATTTTATGTATAATTTATCGTCCCTTTTTCCATATTAGATATATTTTTAAGTGTACATTTTAGTGTCTCTTTTTAACTTAAGTTTTTAGTAGGTTAAATCGAATACCAATTTTACCCAAGGTACCTTAGTATATACGATTTATTTATAGTTAAAACTAATAAGGACACACTACATATATGTTAAAAATCTACAAGCAATGCTATAAATATATTTGTATATAATTTACAAACTATATGATCATATCTGCCAGAAACATTTTTATCTTAAATAAGGATGTCGTTGGACAGTTGACAGGGGTAGAATAAATTGAAAAAAATAAACTATATTTAGCACCCCTAAATAATTAATAATTCTGAATTTTCCATATACCGTACCTCTGTGAATTTCAAACAATTTTATAGTGAACCTTTGATATATTAATTTTTGATGTATGGATTTTTCATATAATTAAAAATGTAAACATCTCAGGTAGTGTTGTTAAACGACTCAACTTAGGGAAATTTTCAATAACGGCCAGCTTAATATTTTATCCAAGAAAATATCAAGCAGCTTGGAGATTTCTCTCCTAAATGCAAAGGTTCGAAAATCAATCAGCGAAATCTCGAGGGTCAGGCAATATTTTTCTGACTAAAATGTTGGTTAGCCGTTTTTAAAAATCAACTCAAATCATCGAGCTTAATAACACTAATCTCAGGGCTTGTCTGAAATTCCGAGGATAAGTATACTCTAATCATCCTGAAATACAATTAGAAAATCAGATTTTTTTTAAATTAAAAAAAAATAATTTAAGTTTTAAAAAATTATATCAAAAAAGTTATGAATGCTTTTTAAAATATTTATCATGGGGAGGGGGGGGGGGGGGTTATACTATGCATATGCATAAATCTCATTGGCTTTGTAGATCAAGAGTTATATCATAATTAAATTTACAATTTAAACATTTAAAACTTACATAAGGTATTTTTTGTTTAGATATGCTTATCAAATGAGTAATGTTAATGGAAAAATTATGCGTCTCCTGGGCTTGAAATTTGTTTCTTATAAGATCGTATAGAGTCCTATTTTCTAATAAAGGCACATTATCAGGAATCCCGCTTGACTTCCCAAGAAATATTAGTTTAATTAATAAAATTATCAAATTAAATTTCGTGAGAACTGATAGATGCCGGATAAAATAAAATTTCATTGTTAGAAAAGTATTTATTTTTCTCTGCGATATAATTTTAAAAAAATGAAAATAGTAATTCAATTTTAATAATTCAAGCCATTAAGTTTTTTTTTTAAATATTAGTTTTCAAATATCAACCTTTTAAATAGAAATCCTTTCAATTTTGAGGAAAATATCATCGTTGCCTTTTGTGAAGCTGTGTTATATAATAGTTGTAAAATAATCATAAAAATTAAAATATTTTTCGAATAAATTTATTAAAAATATAAAGAATTTTAATTTGTCTAAAGTCAATTTTTTGGCAGAAAAGGAGCAAATAATGGTAATTTTATTAAAATATTAAGGTTATACATTGCAAACTACTATTGATTAGGTAATAAATAATATCAAAATTGAAATGAGACAAAAAATAAAATTATAATGAATATATTTTTTTTTAAAAATGGAGTTGAATAAAGAATGTCTATTTACGATTCATTGGACATAACATAAATTACATTTATAAAATAAATTAAATATGTAGAAAATTAGTGGGATTCTTTCTTCTTTATGCTTCTCCAGACGTAATTAATCCTTATTTATTCAACATAACTGTCTAGCCTGCATTTGAAAATTCGAAAATATATTTTCAATGTATAAAAACATAACATTATAAAGAAATATCGTTTCAATTTTCAATTTATTGAAATCAGGGAGGGAGGGAGGGAGGAAGGAAGTATTCCATGGTTTATTCTGTTTTAGATATGGTTATCATATAACTTACTGAACGTTTCAGCGACAAATCAGTCAAGTTCCTAGAGCAATCAGATACTATTTTAAAATAAAAAATATTCTCTAACTTTTCTCATTATACCAACTATATTTTACATGAATTCGTATGGAATATAAAGAATTTAGCCAGTAGGGTCACTGGAGAGAAGGAGGCATGGGCTTGAGCCCCCTAAAAAATTTGAAGAGCCCCCTCAAAATTTTGTTTGTTTTATACCCAATGTAATTTTGTTCATGTTAACTAAAAAAAAAGGCAGGTAATTTTGAAAATTTTTTTTTTAAATTTTTTTGAACCCCCTGAGATTGTAAAGACTAGTGACGCTCCTGAATTTAGCCATATCTACCAGAATGACAGCTCCAATAATATCATTTAAATTAGCTAGGTGTAGCCAAAAGTAAATGATTTACCATATAATTATAAATTTATTTTATGGGTATATTTATATTAGTAACTTTCTAGTAGTTGGTGCCGGCGATGAAGACATTAATCTAAATAACGAAATATAAAATTGGAGCGATTAATCTTTTATTTTGCCCTATCATTTACTTTATCATCATTCTTCCTTCCAAATTTATTTATTCTCTTAAGGACTGCAAAGAAAAGATGAATAAACTAGATTTTTTTAAAACTCTTCTATAATCGGGATGGCAAATTAAATTATTATATTTGAATCTTCAGCTCTATTTTTTGGAGGAGGTAGAAAAAAGCTATTTTTGGGTTGAAATTTATTTAATTTAATAATATTTTATCAAATTAATAAAACATTTCAAACTTTCATTTATAAATTGTCTCAGTTAATTTAACAATATACATAATAATACTTTATATCACAAATTCTAAAATATAGAGCTCTAAATTATCGTATATAAAAAATAATATAATAGTTTCTAGTAGAATAAACATTCAAGTTAAAATGCGCTAGTAGATAATCATTCAACTTTTTCCTTTCTTTTCTTCTTTTTAACCTTTCTTTTTCCCTGGGAAGCAGACTTTTGTTCTATACCCCCAATGGTTCCAGTAGTCGCTGATCCAGCAACATCGGTTCCTCCTCCAGCAACATCCCCTTGAGGTTTGTTAATTCTTTTCTTGATCTTCTTGCGTTTCTTTTTCTTACCAGTACTTGTACTCTAATACAATTTTGTTTTTTTTTATAGTTATTATTTGTAAATTGTTAATATTTCTCATGTTTTTTTCCCTTTTGCCTAAAACTTATAAAATTAGCCTTAAATATATTTTTAAAAATTCTATCTTTAAATTGTTATTAAAATATTTCTTAGGATTTTATAACAATGCAATATTGCTTAATTTTATTCAAGGAGGACAGATTTTTAAAATAAAGTCCTGGCCAATGTGCGTATTTAAAGAGGTTATAATCTTTTTTTATAGTTCAATATGTATTATTCATTAGGATTTAACATGGCCATAGTTTACCAGTCAATAATTTAGGGTATTTCGCACCTGCCCGATACGGAAAAGGAAAATAAAATTGTACAAGTTGTCTGCCCCATAATAATTCTAAGAAAGAAAGAAAGATAGAAAGAAAGTAAGAAAGAAAGAAAGAAAGAAAGAAAGAAAATTTCCTTTTTATAAAAATTTATATGAAAATGATATATTATTTTTATTATTATAAAATCTATATTTTTTTTCTCCAAATTTTAAAATTGTATGTAATAATACGATAAGATCAGCTAATTTTATACTCTGCAACAAAAAATATGAAGCATCTGGAAATCAGGACCGTGCTTAGGAGATGGCAACTAGATTTTAAAGGCCGCAAAATTAAAAGATTTTTTTTAAAGATTTTCTTTCAAATAATCACTGCAATTAGTTAATATTAAAATAAAGAATATTGATATTTAAACTTTAATTGTTTTACATGGAAACCATAAAACTCAATGGGAATGCAAATTTGAAAGTAAAAAAGAGACATGATATGAAGTTAAAAATGATAATATTTATGACTTCACTTTAGTGGATGCTTCAGAGACAACAAAAAAATCAAAGTGTAGAAGCGGTTTCTTTGTCCAATTTTTGGTTCTTATACTTTTGGTTATGTTCTGACACATGAAGCAAAGCGTCATTATCGACTTAAATAACGCGGTGACACTTATTAAAAGGAACATAAATAGATCGCGATTTATGGATAATAGTTTTAAGGATTTTTTACTTGCCACAAAAGAACTTACTGATGAGTTAAAAATGAGTTTAGGAGAAATATTCTTCCAAGCTGATAAAACGAACGAAAACTCTGACATTTATTTTATGGATTAACCTATATATAATTCAGAGGAAAAAAATTTAAATTGAGTTTTCCCAGTTATGATGTTATTATGAAACTACTTCAACATTTAAATATATGGCTTTATTCTCGATATATCGGCTTTGAAGGCATCTGTAGCTGATTTGCAAATTCATTCTAATAAAACAAATATTTTGATTAGAGAGCAAGATTCGTTGGAAAGTGAATTAATTAAATTTATTCTAACTAAAAACCTTATTTAATATATCATACACAAATACTACTGAGGCGTAACACTCTTATAAAAAAATTGGAACGTTATTTATAGTATAATAGTTCAGCGTCGTGTCGAAAGCGACCCAGGGCAAAAAATAATTTGATGCCACCTTAAAAAAACATAATTTATCTTAACTTATTTGATAATTTTTTGCAAAGAATTATTTAGGGTCATTATAGCCTTTGTTTGAAAATTTGTTTGTCGAATTTTAAAAATGCTTACAGCAAAAATAATATATTGCATTTTTTTTATCGAGTACACTAGCCAACGACAATAGAATAATTGGTTATTTCAAATAGAATGAAACAGAAAAATGTCTACTATTTTGGTTTAGTGGAAAATTAAAATTCTCAATTCGTTGAAGACCTTTTTCTACTAAAATCATTCGTTGATCATCAATTATCCATAATGACCGTTCGACTCTATCATCACAGTTTGTGTTAAAATTTTTCGAGGAACTATTGTTAGCTATGTTGTATTCTGTTGTGGATTCCCATATAGCATGAGATAGAGAAATATGTGAACCAGCCACTTCTGTGGGATCATCATGATTGGCCATAAGAATATCAATGTGATTATCATCGAAATGGATATCGAATATTTCTGGCATTACACGTGTGAGGCTTGAGGCCACATTTTCATTTTTGTTTTAAATACCCCCTTTTTGAGAATTAATAAATTCATCTTCGTACTTTTTCTTTTTCGTACTTCTTTCTTTTTCGTACTCAGCCCCTGAATCAAATTTTTTTCATCTTCCCATTTTAAAAATTTCTTGGTAATGAAAGAAAAGATTATATGGCTCCTGACAATTCATCACTAAACAGTATTTGAATATTAATTTAATTTGTCATTTTTTAAGGGTCTTAAACTAGCATATTATATAGTTTATATTTAATAAAACATTTAATAGTAGAATTTAAATTAAAATATTAACTCAATATAGATTAGAATAATTCAAAGTGTACCACTCGAAAGGTCTATGTATTAAGTAAAGACTATGGTGTAAACCTTTTTATTTTAAAACAGACTAATCAGAATATCCAAAATGTTCCTCATAAGTCATACCTATTAATTGAAAATATTAAAACAAAACCTATACGAGAAAATAGACCAAATATCAATAAAAAATCATTTAATAGAAATCGTTTAAAAAATAAATTTATTATATTTTTTCCTTATCGATTCCTTTGCTAATGGAAATTTTAATAAAATTGTTTTTAAAGATTTTATATAAATAGAAAAAAGGAAAATTTCAATATAAAAATCAAATTTCTTATCTAAAAGATAACTGATTTCTTTTTACTAAATATAAATCAAAATTTTTGTTATAATACATATGGCTAGACATGCCAAACCTTTTTTCTCATACATGGATTTTTTTATAAAAAAAAGAATAAGCCTTGTAGTAGTATATACAAAAAATTCTTTCTAAGGGCTAAAAATAATCGAATAAAATTACAAATTTGGCGGCCCCTAAAATTGTCTAATTTCGGCTGCTTGGGACGATGCCCTGCTCGCCTCCCCACCTGCACAGCCGAGAATAGGCTAATGGAAGCGTTTCCTAATATTTCAAATATTCAAATTTATAGAGTTTTCTCCATATAAAACTATTACGAGGCTGACAACTTGTTCAAAATAAAAGATATTTTAAATGGATCTAGATACAGATACATCTTCCAAAAACATATCTATATACAGATTCATTTTTTTATTATACTTAT